TCTCCCCAGAATTCCATCCCTGACCACACCCATCAATGTGGGATCCCTCCATAAGGACTTCTTCTTAGACATTACACTCCCAGTCAAACATACACAAACTCTGATCAATTTCACCTTTTTCCACCAAACCTGGACACAAAATCATGACTCCTTCTGTGGAGTGCCCTGGCTGCCAGTGGGACTCCACCATTCATCAATAGGATCTTCTCATTGAAAGAGCGCAGCCAGGAAGAGTATTTAGGATTGCAAACTGTCCTTGACCAGACACCATTGCTGCAAATGGCATCCAGTCGGTAGAGCTGGACAAGTTCCTAAACCCACCTCCACACTCCTTCCAAATTACTTCCATCAGGTAGGGGATGTTCTGTCACTGGCTTCATACAGATCTGTGGATCTGAATAGCATAGCACATAAGGAGAATCAGGTCAGCTGCCTGGTGCTCTGGGTTGGATGGTCTGGAGGGCTCACAATGGCAGAGACAGAGGCAGTGTACAAGATTCCTGGAGATCACCCTAGTGGTTGAGAGAACAAACCCTTAAAGGTGATGTTCTGTCAATCTATACTTAAGCCCACCTCAAAAAAGAAAGAAGCTGGTACTCACTTCGAAGGTGCCATTACAGGATCTTCTGCCCAGCCTCCTTGCCGTCGTGGGGGTTTAGGTGGTGGGCCCTTTAAGAATAAGAGACGTACACAAGAAAGAAAATATATTATACCCAGGCTCCAACCAGACCACCTCACACTAGATTCACTCATATTGATTCTTGCAGAGAGTTACCTGGCAAGAAGTTTAAGTCCAACACTGAAGCGCTGTACTTAACAGTGTTTCATAAAACAAAGGAACAGAAATGCTGCAGGGCAGATTGTGAAGTGTCTAAAACCATGGTGTCTGGCCAGTTCTGAACTAGTAGCCACTATAGTGAACTAGCCACACTCAACCAGCCAAATAGCCACATGTGGCTAGCGTGTTGGACCCCACAGGTCTAAAACAACATAGGATGCATCTCTCTATTCAGGGAACTACATGAGTCTCAAGATCACATATCCAAGACTCAAATGCTGCCTAGCCAAAACATGCCGGGTATGGTGGCAGTCCAGCCTGTGTGTTCTGCTTTTTACAGGTGTGTCTTAGTATTGTACCTTGGCAGAGAAGAATTATTAAACTGCACTCATTTTTTAATCTTATCATAAAAACACAACACGCACACACACTCTCTGCCCTATGACATTCTCTGTCCAACACATGCAGACAGACAGAACAAGACACATTAAGAAACCACATTAGGAGACTGAATTGGATTTTTAGAAGATAAGAATAATAATCATGTTGCTTCTTCCTATGATATGCTGTGTAACAATGGTAATTGGCAGGTGTGGTGGGGAGAGGAATGTGTCTCAGGGACAGGGATAGAAATTTCCAAGACCATGAATGAAGCCAGTAGTAGGGATGTGAATGTATACCAGTGTCACTGGTTAACCCTCACAGTGATACGCAGCTTCTCCTGCTCTCCTTGCACTACTGCCTCTGCATCAGAAACAGCAGCACAAGAGGGGAGAGGAAAAGAAGTGGGAACCAGTGTGTGTGGGGAGCCAGCTTTCAAGCTGGCTCTTTGTGTGTACTGGCTCCCATGGAGCCGACTGCCCCCTCTGCTGCCGCAGCAGCAGAGGGAGGGGGAGCCAGTACTTATGGGGAGCCCCTGTGCATGCCAGCCCCCACAGAGCCATCTTCCCCTACCCCCTGTGTATAAATGTGTAATCCCTGAAAATTTCAGGGATTACACATTTATAAAAAATAAACTCATTTTAACATCCCTAGCCAGTAGGCCTCTGGTTTGTGTGTCCAGCCCATGACCTTTGCAGCTGAGGGTTCAATTCCCCTCTCATAGGGCACTGAAGTATAAAGCAACTGATGTGGCAGCAACCTTAGCAGTTTGCCTGACATGCAGTAGTGTGTGAGAGGAGACAGTGCAGTGCAAGCAAGTTCAGATTTCATATTTCTTCAAAGGACATTTAGAGAAAGCAGATGGGCTACAGAGATTCCTAAGAGCACAGTTTCAAATATGGAAAGCAGCACATTAATTCCAAGGGAGCCTCAACACTTAGGCAGGGATAGTAGAATGAGGATGCTCTCCTGAACTTTGGTTAAGGAAGAGGAAAGGGATCGGAGAACATGGAAGATTTCCTGGTCTCAGTGAGGGGTGGGAGAGGAGGATAATTCTGAGACTCAGCGAGGATAGGTTGGAGGTAACCCTGAGGCAGAGGGTCTCTTCTATTTGTTTCTAGAAGAAGTAGTATTGTTTGAGAGTGTGGGAAATAGAGACAGCCTGCCAGGGGCAACTGCTGCCTGCTGTAAGGCTGGGGCATGACCCTGCATAACTCCTTGGAAGGAGCAAAAATAGGCACTATCCAAAAATAAACAGGGAACAGAAATGAGCTGGGAGCTGAAGTCCCAAAATGCCAGCTTTCTCCAGCAAAGGGAGCACGAGAAGGCAGAGGAACAGGCAGGGAACATGAAATGCAGGAAATGGCCTCCTTATATGGGCTCATCCGCAGGGGACAGAGCTCAGTGGACTGGAATGACCATGTCACAGAATGCGAAGCCTTCAGGGCCCCAAGTGAATGGAGTTTTCTGATCTTTACATGATTCCTTCAGATTCTTAAGATGCCAAACTACAGAAGAGGCTGCAGTGCCAAAAAAGGAGCATTTTGAATACAGATTATTCATGTGTTCCCAAGCCCAGAAAAAAAAAGGGAGCACACCACACATGGGTGCGTGCATATACAAAAAAAACCTTATACTTGCACCTCATCCCTACATCTCCTCACACAACTGTCCTTCCCCATATATGCAACTTTGCCCTCCCTCCGTTTATCTAGGGATGTAAGCAACTAGTTCATTATCTGATAAGCATGAGCTTTTTGGATAGTTGATTAGTGCTGTGACTAGTCGTTTCCCAACTCTTACCGCCTCTATCTGGGTATGTCTACACTGCATTTCTCTTTTGAGAGAGGAATGCAAATGCAGCTGAGTGAAATTGCAAATGAAGCGCGGATTTGAATTTCCCGTGCTTCATTTGCATAATTGCATCCGGGCACTATTTCGAAATACCCTATTTCGAAAAAAAGAAACGCTGTCTAGACACGGTTATTTTGAAAGAAAACCCTTCTTTCGAAATTACCCTTACTCCTTATAAAATGAGGTTTAAGAGTTATTTTGAAAGAAGGGTTTTCTTCAAAAAAAAACCATGTCTAAACAGCGTTTCTTTTTTCTAAATAGGGTATTTTGAAATAGCTCCCGGACGCAATTATGCAAATGAAGCGCGGGAAATTCAAATCCGTGCTTCATTTGCAATTTTGCTCAGCTGCATTTGCATTCCTCTCTCAAAAGAGGAATGCAGTGTAGATATACCCGCTGAGTGAGGCAGCAAGGGGTGGGGAGCAGGAGCTGGTGCTAGGGGAAGACAGCTTAAAAGTCAGTTCCCTCCAGCACAGTCTCCGTGGGGAGAAAGAGAAGTAGAGGCTCAGTGGGAAATGGTGCAACTGGGAACTGAAGCAATCTCCGCTCATGCCAATTCTGTTGCGAATCTGCTTTTGAAAAGTACAAGAGCTCCACTGAGGCTCTTATATATTTCAAAGGCTAAGGTGCCACAGGGAGGGGACATGGGGCGCTTTTGAACTGTAGCAAAGCCAGGCAGGGCTCTTGTTACAGTTCATAGACAGAGGTGCCCTTATCGACTAATCACATATTCAACTGAAATCCCATCGACTATTCAATTAGTTAATTAATCTAAATTTAACATCCCTACCTTGTTCAGATCCCTCCACAGCACTATACCAATCCCCCAGACAGACAGTAGACCATGTCCCCCGATACACAACCATACAAATCCTCAGACAGCCCCTGCACAGTCACATTCAGAAACACCTCATGGGTCTGATGAATTATATGAATGCTGCCAAAGAGTCAAGGGGACAGAACCAAGTGAGAACGTAATATCTCCAGCCTCTGCTCTATGTCCAGTTTCCCACAGTACTTGGGTTTAGTCCCAAACTATCAAGGTCAACATTCAGGTTCAACTCAGGCACTCAACATTAGAAGCTACTTCTGAAAACATGCCATGACTGTGTAATAGGGATGCAAGCAACTAGCCCCTCAACTAGTCACTTCCTACCCCTTTGTTGCCTCTATCAGAGGCAACGGGGGGGGGGGGGCAGGAGCCGATGCTGGGGGGAGCCAGCTTAAAAGCCAGTTTCCCACAGCACTATCTCCACAGGGGCAGGGAAGGCAGGGAGATAGCGGGGACTGGACACGAGCCGGGAATTAGCTTATTTCCGGCTCGAGCTGGGTCCCTCCTGCGCTTTAGCCTTTTAAATGTTTTAAAAGCCTTACTGGTAGAGAGGCAGCAGTGCGGTGTGGCAAGGGGCTCCCCAGGAGTGGGCCCAGGAGCACACTGGCTGCTGGCCTCACTCCCGGGACCTATCAAATACATTTATAAGGCTAACACGCAGTGGGTGGGGACCCAGCATGAGCCAGAAATCGCAGTTCTGGCTTGTGCTCGGGTACCCCTGCTGAGCTTCTGATTTTTAAACATTTTAAGAGCTGGCAGACTCTTAATACATTTAAAAGGCAGAGCCACAGTGGGTTTACTCCCAGGCCTGGAGCTAACCCTGCAGCAGCTTCCCACTTATTGACTAGTCGATGGAAAATCCATTGACTAGTCAATTAGTTGGTTAAACTAGATTTAAGATCCCTACTATGTAATTGGGGTTTAACGCCAATGGCTCACCTATATCATTTCCCCACTGAATATACAGTCCACGTGGCTCTTAATGTCCAGAACATAAATGTCCTGTCTCAGAGGCAGTAGTGCAGAGCAGCAGCAGCCTCTGTCCATGCGGAGCTCGGACCCCCGAACACAGGGGCTTGCTGTTATCCCACACTGCTGCCTCTGATAGAAAGACTGCAATGGGAGATGGCAGGGGGCTCCCCAGGAGTGGGGCCAGGAGCGCACTGGCTGCTGGACTCACTCCCAGGACCTATCAAATAGTCGTGTAACCACTAACATTTGATGCAGTTACACGCTATCTAACATCCCTAATTCCCGCAGCCCTTTTATTCCTGTTGAAATAAACTCAGTAATTCTTTCAGGATTACCGAAAAGGTTCAGCCACAGTGATGGCCAGGCCAAGAATCATTGCTTTGTCTATTTGCCTGTAAAATACCATTAGTAAGTTAGTGTACCATATACATTTTAAATATTAATTTACATTTATTTTAAGATTTTAAGACCAGAATAGGCCTCTGGGATTACATAGTCTGACCTCAACTATAGAGGCTACAGCAGTGGTCCCCAACCTTTCTGGGTGGAGGGCACAATGCAGGACTGCCAGGCCACCCAGGGGTGGGGCCACGCATGCCCCAGGGGCGGCGCTAGGCGGGCACTACAGGACTTCTGTGAATTAGTGCCTAACTGAAAAATAATTTTTTTTTAAATCTAATCTTGATTTAAACATTTCTAATATAGGTGAATTCACCACATCCCTTTTCCAATGATTAATTATACAGCATCATTTACCCACAAATTTCAGTGTTTTACAAATTAAAATGAAAATATCATGTCACACATCATCACCAAAATGCAGTCACTTCTGAGGTGGATGTGGCTGCCCCA